ATTGTTTGGCAATCATGATACTATATCATTAGAAGTTCTATAAAACATGTTAATATCTACATAATATACCATATGCATAATTAACATAGACATCTTTCTTATTTTTTGGACAGTAGGTTTTTTTCCTGATTTTTAATACTGATCTAAACTCCTTTGTATGCACCTTGGGCTAAATCACTGATGATTTAGTTAGGCTAGATTCACAGATAAGAGAGGTATTATTCAACCATTTCTGGATGCCTCTTTATTCAAAATTAAGACCTTTCCTGGCTGAACGTGACCCCAGAATCTTTTCCTCTGTCTTGTTTCTGAACCACTGATCTCTCTTTCCGAGGTATAAGAAGTAGAGGAGAAGGAACTTGGAATCTGGAATTCAAAAAACCCTACAGTCATGCATCCATTTCCTGCTCACTCAAAAGGCAATTCTGGCAAAGTGAGGTCTCCAAACCTGTTTTCTCACCTGGAAAAATGGGACACTAACAGAACCTCCCTCCAAATCTTGATGTGAGGATTAAATAAGATAAAGCCTCTGACAAGGTATGGCTGTGTTCTAGCAAGTTCCATATTATCTTTAGGCGTGCTTGGAGATTTAAATGGCTTTCAGATGGAACTGAGAGGAAAGAAAACTGGTTTTCTTGGTTGGGTTGTTGGGGGTTTTTTTGGTGAAATAAAACTCAAACCTTTCATTTTAAAAAAAAATCCCTAGGGAGAAATAGTAGCTATTAAAAGACACATTTCTCAAGACTATCAATTTCCTTCATATCATCCTGGAGATTTTTTAAGGCTTCATTTCATATATTAAGTTAGCCAATCTAAGCATCTCATTCATACACTTACCACAAAGGGAATACACCCAATCCAGCTAGATGGAAAGCAGTAGAATCCTCCAGACCACACGTAGCCACTCCCTCAAGGGCAGGTAACAACATTTAACCATACTTGATTGGTCCCAGGACTTTACTAAGGGATATTTAATGGTGAAGGAGGATGCTACTATGGGCCAGCCAGCAAGGAGAGGCAAAGTGAAGAGAGAATGATTAACCTCCCTGGATAAAAGACCATTCAAAGGGGATAAAAGGAGGAACAGAGACTTGAGTAGCTAGGAAGGTGCTTCCCATCAGGTTTGTGAAGGGACAAGGAAGCTAACAAGGCAGCATCTTCATGTATATGTCCTATTGCAATGCAGTGAAGAGTAGATAACAGGTCTTTTATGGTTCAATTAGAAGACCAGACTAGAGGTTCCAGGAGTGAGACCAGAGATTGCAGGGATTCAGTGAGGATGAAGTTTGAAGGAAAGCATGGCAGCAATGGGACCTCTGTAGTAAAGAGGCAGCCAGATATAGATAAGAAGCATCAAGCAAATGGGAAGCCAGCAGCAAATGGGAAGCCAGCAGCAAATGGGAAGCCAGCAGCAAATGGGAAGCCAGCAGCAAATGGGAAAGTTGAAGTCTACAGAGAGCCAGAGGCAAATGGAAAGCAGTCTGCACTTGGGAAAAATCTCAACACATACACCTGGGAAGAGATCCAGAGACACAATCAGGAGACAGACCAGTGGCTGGTGATTGATCGTAAGGTCTACAACGTCACCAACTGGGCCCTCAAGCACCCAGGGGGGCCCCGCGTCCTCAACCACTATGCTGGGGGCGATGCCACGGTAAGCATTTTGCAAAGGACTCTCCTTCTCTTTTCCAGCTGTGGGAGGCAGAGAGGTTGGCTGTCTTCCCAGTGCATGTTGAGGCTCCACAATCTCTCATCTCTCAAAGCAATTTTTCAAGATTCCTAGCTAGGAAAAAAAAAACCTTGCATGCAAATGAAGCCTCAAAATCTTCAAGTTTGAGATGAGCTCGGGTGTTGATTATAGATACTATACTATATTTTGGGGTTTGTTTCTTTTCTTGTTTGTTGTTTGTTGTTGTTTTAGTGGTGTTATTTTCTTATAAAAATATTTTCAAAATAAATATTTTTAAATGTTCAAAAAATATTTTAAAAAATAGTATTTTCAAAATAGGGACAGGGATAGCAAATATTTGTACCAATGGAGAAATTTCTCTGTTAGATTGGAGAGTGTAAAAGAAAGGAAATTCTTTCTTTAAAGAGCACCAAAATGTTGGTAGTAATAATAATAAGGAAAAATGTTCAGTTAGGACAACAACTTTTCACATTCTATCATTCATTCAATCGTTGACATAGATGGTTTTTAAAAAAACTAACAATCAGTTGCTATCAAGTTGGCATGATAACCCACGTGCTCGAAGTAGAACACTGCCCCACAGAATCTCAGTAACTGATTTGCGGAAGTCATTCACCAGGGATTCCTTCTGAAATACCTCTGAGTGAACTTGAACCTCCAAACATTTGCTTAACAGCCAAGTACGTTATCCTTTATACCTACAACCTCTGTCTTGGGAAGTTGTTGTTAAGTACTAATGAGTCAGAACCAACTCAGAGCTGACCTTCCAGAGAGATTTCAGAGGAAGTGAATCGTATGGAAGAAGATTGTCCATCTTTCTCCCATGAAGCAGCTGGTGAAACCAAACCAGGCGATTTGAGTTGGCTGCGCAAATCCTTCCCCCTTAGCTGCCAGAGGTTAAAGACAGTGAAATCAGAAAGACTAATACTAAGTAACTGGCCAACCTCAAACAACAGCAGCTCTTGGAAGTAGAATTCAATCAAGATCTTTTCTAGCTTTCAATATTTCTACCTTTCTCCCCACAAAACAATGAAAGGCAGGAAGGGGAATCTTTAACACTTACTATGTAGAAATCTAAAGAATAATTTCTGCAATAATAGCAGGAGACAGAATAGCAAGAAGAGAATGAAAACATGCTGGGTCCCTGTTGTGCCCACCTTTCATGCTTGACAATGCTAGATAGAATATGAACAGTATTTCACCAAAATAAGTAACATTATTAAATCAGAGAATGTGTTGCATAAAGTAAGGACCTTCTACCATCTTGAAAATATCTGAGAGACTTTGACAGTGTAAGACAACCCAGCTCATAAATCAGGGGTTTATTGATTTTTTTAAATCTCCCACAAATTCTTTAAAGTACTGAAACTGAGGAGGACCTGAAGTGCTTGCTGTAGAGGGTCAAGGACTGCAGCCTACAATATGGATTGAGGCTCAATGTCAAGAAGACAAAGATTCTCACCACTGGACCAATTGGCAGCATCAGGATGTATGGTGAAGAGATTGAGATTGTTCACAGCTTTAGTTTGCTTGGCTCCACAGTCAACACTCTTGCCACCAGCAGCCAGGAAATTAAAAGACTTATTGTGATGGGAAAGTCTGCTGTTAGGGACCTCTCCAAAGTTCTGAAGAGCAATGGTGTCTCTCTGGAGACTAAGGTGCATCTGATACAGGCCATGGTCTTTGCTATCCCTTGTTATGCATCAGAGAGTTGGACAATGACTAAGGAGGATAGAAGGAGAATTGATGCCTTTGAGCTGTGGTGCTGGAGAAGAATATTGAGGGTACCATGGACTGCTAGGAAAACAGATTCATCCTGGAGAGGGTTAAACTGGGCACCTCCTTGGAGGCAAGGAGTCTGAGGCTCCATCTAACACACTTTGGACATGTTGTAAAGAGGAACTGGTCCTTGGAAAAGGACATCACGCTTGGGAGGGTGGAGGGATGGCGCAGGAGGGGAAGGCCCTCTAGGAGGTGGATTGATTCAGTGACTGGGGTAATCAGGATGGGTGTGTCAGGGGCAGTGCGATTGGCACAGGACAGAGCAGAGTTTAGGGCTGTTGTACATAGGGTCGCTATGAGTCACAAGCGACTCGACAGCACATAACAACAACAACAACTTGGAAAATAGAACATTAAGGAAAGCTAAGCGATTGCCTTAGGGTCATAGAGTTCATAGGTTCATAGTGTGTCACAGTTGACTTGGTGACAACAGGGAGCACAGGTGGCCTGTTGTTGTGGTGGTGGTGGTTGTTGTGTGCTGTCCAGTCAGAACCCACTCTTGGCTGACACTCCAGTAGATTTTTAGGGGCAGTAAAGTGCTGGGGAAGGCGGGGGAGATTGCCCATCCCTCTCCTGGTAAATTAGAACCTCATGTGATTTCAACCCTCCGGCAGCGCAGAGGACGAAAAAAATGAGCCGTCTCCTCCCCTAGATTAACTGCCTCTGAAAACCCGCTGGAGGGTGAGCTATGAACTGGCTGCTATTCGTCAGTTTCTACTTGACAGTCTAGAACAATGTTATTGTTGTTGTTGTTCTTATTGTTGTCAGGTGCCGTCGAGTCGTAGACGACTCATAGCGACCCTATGAACAAAAGATTTGAGCACTGTTCATAGAGTTTCCGGAGGCAAGCCAATTCGGAAGTGGATGCCACTCCTGCTTCCAAGGTTTTTTTAATTGGGGAGCTCCACCAAACACTGTCCGCCATGAGTAACCGTTATCGCATGAACTCTATGAACCTGGAGTATGAAAGTTATACAAGTGTCCAGTGGGTCTTTCATTCATAGGGCTGCTGTGAGTCGCCTATGACTCGCTGGCACTTAAAAATAACAACAACAGCATAGAGAGTGACCAGTTGGCCTAGTGGACAGAAAGTGATGCTACCAAGCCAAAGGTGAGTGACTTTAATCTGCGGCCCTCAGGCCTGTTTCAATGGTTTTTGGTCAGTGGGGTCTAGGCTAAGGATTGAAAACACACATTTTAAAAGAAGAAAGTTGTAGATTGCATTTAGATTCCACCATGTCCTACCAATGTCTTGAGGAAGTTGCTCGATTGATAAAAGCTACCTTAAATGTAAAATGAATATTAATACCTTCATCTCAGGGTTACTTAAAAGTCAGCAAATATATAAAAAGTGCTCTGTACAGTGTGCTAAGTGAACTAACTCAGCCTTATAAGGTCAAATATTGCATATAGCCATTTTGTAAAACTAGAAGGATAGCTAGTAAGATGCATATAAAAGTCCAAAGGAGAATGAGGAGGAGGCAGAGGGGCTAAAATGGGGGGTGGGGTGGAGAAATGAGGTTACAGAGTTTGGTGGGCAGAAGGAGAGGGTGAAGGAATTAAGAAAGACCCACTGAGGACCTGGAACGACAGGGTACTAGTGAGGAGAGACCAATGGTGACTCTTTTTATAATACACAATATAGGGGAATGATCACATAAAACACAGTGTATATGAATGAAATGCGATGTATATGAATTTTGTATGCAAGCCAATATAAAATTTAAAAAAAATACCAAAAAAAGGTGCTCTGTATGGTACTCATGACAGAATTTTCAAATGGCAGCTTTTATCTTGTCATTATTGTTTTTGTTAATTGCCATCACATCCATTTTTAGCATGGTCATTGCTGAGCCACTGCATCAACCCTCCTATTGAGGGTCTTGCTCTTTGCTCCTGACCTTCCACTCTTCCCAGCATGATGCCTTTCTCCAGGGATGGGATCCTCCTGGTAACAAGTCCAAGAGGCAAAGTCTCACCATGCTTACTTCTAAGGGGTGTTTTGGCTACACTTCTTTTGAGACAGATCTGTTCATTGATGTAATATAATATATATAGAATAGAATAGAATTAATATGTTGTTGTTATGTGCCTTCGAGTCGTTGGCAACTCATAGCGATCCTATACACAACAGCTCTAAACCCTGCTCTATCCTGTGCCAATCGCACTGCCTCCGACACACCCATCCTGATTACCCCAGTCACCGAATCAATCCATCTCTTAGAGGGTCTTCCCCTCCTGCGCTGTCCCTCCACCCTCCCAAGCATGATGTCCCTCTCCAAGGACCCGTCCCTCCTGGCAACATGCCCAAAGTATGTCAGACGAAGCCCCAGAATCCTTGGCTCCAAGGAGTTGCTTGATTTAATCCTCTCCAGGATGAATCTGTTTGTTTTCTTGGCAGTCCATGGTACATTCAATACTCTTCTCCAGCACCACAGCTCAAAGGCATCAATTCTCCTTCTGTCCTCCCTAGTCGTTGTCCAACTCTCTGATGCATAACAAGCGATTGCAAATACCATGACCTGTATCAGGTGCACCTTAGTCTCCAGAGAGATACTGTTGCTCCTGAGTACCTTTGAGAGGTCCCTAACAGCAGACTTTCCCATCGCGATATGCTTTTTGATTTCCTGACTGCTGGTGCCAAGAGTGTTGACTGTGGAGCTGAGCAAACTGAAGCTGTGAACAGTCTCAATCTCTTCGCCATCCATCCTGATGCTGCCAATTGGTCCAGTGGTGAGAATCTCTGTCTTCTTGACATTGAGCCTCAGTCCATACTGAAGGCTGCAGTCCTTGACCCTTCACAGCAAGTGCATGAGGTCCTCCTCAGTTTCAGCAAGCAGGGTTGTGTCATCTGCATAACGCAGATTGTTAATAGATCTTCCATCAATCCTGATATATGCACCAAGGAATATAAGAATATCATATCATATCATATCATATCATATATAATATATTCTTTGTCAACATCACAATTTAATGGCACCTATTTTGTTTTTTCTTATACATTGTCCAATGTTCACATGCATGTGAAATGAGTGTAAATTTCATGTATGTGTTAGTCACACTTTAGTCCTCAGAGTAACAGTACTTTTAAAAACTTTAAATAGGTCCTTTGTGACAAAATTTCCCAGTACAATTGTTACTTACTTTTTTATGAAATAATTATTATGGAATTATTTCTT